GGGCGGGGCGGGCAGTGTTTTTGGCTCAGCCGGGACAACTTCCCAAACCACGCGGGGCCGATTTAAGCTTGCGGGACCGCTGAGAGTGTGACGTCAGGGCGGGAGTGGGCGGTGGCTCCTCCTCCGCCCGGAACCCTGAAGCCGCGGGGCGGGGCGAGTGCGATGAACAGCGGAGGGCGCCGACGTCAGGGCCACGGCGAGGGGAGCTCCTCCTACTGTTTCAGCCCGGAGCTCTTGTTTCCCTGCAGGCCGGGGTAGGTCGTGTGCAATGCGAGTGCGTGCGGGTACTCTCCTCCCAGCCTCCTTTCCCGGACCCCTGCCGCGCCTGGCACCCCTCCTGGAGCAGGGAGAAGACCGCAGGCTCTGCCCGGCGCCCACAAGTGATAGAGGACGCGGGGCGCCTCAGTTTTAGCATCTGTAAAGTGGACGTAGAAGGGCTCAGAACGGCCAGTGTGATGTTGTCTGTACAGCCAGGGAAGGAAGGCCAGCCGCGATGAAAGTTAACTGCTGCTGCTTTTAGTATTACTGTTCTTTATTGAACTTATAAATTCACGCACTGAATAAATTCAGCAGCTAGACAATGATATAAAAGTAACAGGTAAATATAAACAGGAAGATTTCATATGTTTTTTGAAAAGTAAATTCTTTTTAATTATTTTTAGTAATGATGCATTTTAGGTATACAATATAATGACATTCATCTTTGGAAATTTGTACCTTTACATAATCTATCTTGGTTCTTATTTTTCCCCATACCCCTGCCCTCCCTTCAAGCCCTCCACCCCTCCCTATTTACAAAGTCTTTATTTCTATTTTTTCATTTTCTCATTCCATGTCCTTCCCCTCTTCTCCCCCTCCCCTCTCCCTTTTTCCTTTGTCCCTTTTCATCCTATTCCACATCTGTTGTACCTTTTAGGCCTTATTTACACTTTCAATTTCTCACACCAAAGAAATTATTCAGTATTTGCCTGTTTGTCCTGTTTATTTCACTTGAGTATCACCTCACTGTGCATCCATTTAGCTATAAATGTCTCTAATTTCTCATTCTTTATGGCTGAGTAGTACTCCATTTTATTTTAAGACCCCACATCTTTATCCAGTCTCCAGTTGATGGGCAATTGGGTTGTTTCCAAGTTTTAGCTATTTCAAACTGCCACTATAAACATGGGTGCACACATATCACTGTGGTGTAATTCTTCCAATTCTTTTGGGAAGATACCCAGCAGGGGAATAGCTAGGTCAAATGGGACTTCTAATCCTAATTCTTTGAGATATCTCCATACTGATTTCCACCGTGGTTGCACCAATCTGCTTTCCCACCAACAATGGAGAAGGGTTCCTATCTCCCCACAACCCTGCCAGCATTTGTTATGGGTTCATTTCTTGATAGCAGCCATTCTTTCTGGGGTGAGGTGGAATCTCAGGGTTGTTTTCATCTGCATCCCTTGAATGACCAGCGGTGTTGAATATTTTTTCATACATTTATTTGCTGCTGTTACTTCTTTGAGAAGTATCTGTTCATTTTAGATGCCCATTTGTTAATTGGGTCTTTATATTTGAGGAGGTCTGATTTTTTTTTAGTTCTTTATATATTTTAGATAGTAGACCTTTGTTTGAGGAACAGCTGATAAAAGTTTTTTCCAACAAGGTAGGTTGTCTCAGCTCTGTCGGTGGTTTCTCTGGCAGTGCAAAAGCTTTTTTTTTTTTTTGGTACCGGCATTGAACTAGGGTCCTTGCGCTTGGCAAAGCAGGCCACCAAACCACTGAGCTAAATCCCCACCCCTAAAAGCTTTTTAATAGGATGACATCCCAGTTGTTGATTCTCTTTGCTAGTTCCTGTGCTACTGAGGATTTGTTCATAAAGTCCTTTCCTATGCCAGTATCTTCAAAAGTTCTACCTAACCTCTCTTCCAGCCATTTTAGTGTTTCTGCTTTAATATTTAAATCTTTAATCCATTTTGATTTTAGTTTTGTGCATGGTGGGAGATATAGGTCTAGTTTTAATCTTTGGCAAGTGGAAAACCAGTTTTTCCAGCACCATTTATCTAAAGAGGCTATCTTTCCTCCAGTGAGGCTGTTTGGCTCCTTTGTCAAAGATGAGGTGGCTGAGTGTGTCTGGAGTTGTTTCTGCGTCTTCTGTTCCACTGGTCCTCAGGTCTGTTTCTTTGCCAGTACCATGCTGTTTTTATCACAGTAGCTTTGCAGTACAGTTTCAAGTTGGGCGTTGTGATACCTACTACCTTGTCTTTGTTGTCTAGAATTGATTTTGCTATTCTAGGTCTGTTCTTGTTCCAAATGAATTTTTGGATTGTTTTGTCAAGGTCCGTGAAGTATGCTGTTGGAATTTCAATTGGGACTGCCTTGAATATGTACAGCAGTTTTGGAAGTGTGGCCATTTTCACTATGTCAGTTCTTCCTACCTAGGAGCAAGGGATGTCTTTCCATTTTCTCATATCCTCTTTGACCTCTTTTTTTGAGAATGTTGTAGTTTTCAGAGTAGAGGTCTTTGATTTCATTCATTACATGGATTCCTAGTTATTTTAATTTTTTGGATGCTATTGTGAAAGGAATTGTTTGCCCCATTTCTCTGTCAGTGAGTCTGTTGTTCCTACACAGGAAAGCTGTTGATTTTTGTGTGTTGACCTTGTATCCAGCTACTTTACTGAATTTGGTTATGAAGTCTAGAAGAGTTTTGGTGGAGTTCTTGGGTCTTCTATAGAGAGTATCATGTCCTCTGCAAGTAATGACAGTTTTACTTTCATTTCCTATCTTTATTCCTTTTCTTTCTTTCTCTTGTCTAATTGGTGTGGCTAATGTTTCCAGAACTGTATTGAACAGAAGAGGTGGTAGTGGACATCCTTGTCTCATGCCTGATTTTAGTGTGAAGGATGTTTTTTTAAAGCGAGAATGTAGTGCTTTACCATTTACAAATCTTCATGTGCATTCTCATTTACCCCTCACAACAACTCTGTGAGGTAGGCAGCATGGTTGTTTTTTCTCCTTTAACAGATGAGGAGAGTAAATCTCAGAGTGGTTAACTCATGTGCCCGAAGTTCTACAGTTAGTAAATAATTTGTATTAGTGTCAGCCTTTGGCCTAAAAATTCAGCACCCAGCCTCCCCTCATATATGCCCCACCTACTTCACAGGGATAATGAAGATAAAATGAATTCAAGGCTACAAACATACTATGAGGGGGGAAAGAACTGTGATTATGCCCATAAACTGTAATTGTCCATGATGCATGCTCATTCCCTTTTCACCCCAACTTGTGCATGAACCCAGAAAGTTATATCACTTCTGCCTGTTAAATAAGCAACAGGGTAAGGCAGGGTAATGGTATGATCCTGTTTAAAGTTATGTAAATTACAAGCAGGGTATCTGCATTATTAAGGAAAATGAACAACACACAAAGGCTAATGAGCAACTAGGACCCGCCAAAGTACATAGCAAAGCAAGGCAACGTTATCAGATAGGGCATGGCGGCATAGAAGAAAAAGTGGTGTCAGGGTTCGAACTAAGGCAAAGTGGTGTCAGGGTTCGAACTAAGGCAAAGTGGTGATCGAGAAGAGTTACTTGTTCTGCATTATAGAAACGAGCAGAACATTCACAGGAACCCGTGCAAAAGCATCGTGTGTCGCACAGATTTCTTCAGTTGCCTACAGGGAATATAAACACTCATCCTCATGTAACACGATTGTACCTGTGCTCATATCCTGAGCTAAATCAAGGAACAGTTCCATGCTAAACCTCCTTGGGTAGATACAACCAGTACTATCACTTCTAATCAGACTAATAAATAGAACACGTTTTAATGAATTGAATGGCCGTTTAGGTTTCCTTCGGGGTTTACTTTGGATTCTCCTGCTTTAAGCCCTAAAGAAAGTTAATATTGCGTTTTTATTGGCGATTCTAAGTACAAGTGTTTATAACATTTAAAGTGTGATGGGTGAATTTAACACATTACAAGTTTTATAGCATCTGTTCTGAAAGGATTATATACTATACAAACAAATTTTCAGTGTCTTTTCAACTGAGAAGACTCCTATTCAGCATGCTGCCTCTCCTGAGGTGGTTCATTCGGAGCAAACTTTGCTTTCAGTTTTTTGTTTGTTTGTTTGTTTGTTTGTTTTCTTCTACAGTGGCTTCATATTTCTCTTTCCTTTCTGTCAATTCTAGGCAAATCAGCTCAATTTCTGGGGTAGCATCTCCTAAGTGACGCTTTAAAAAATCCGAAGCACTATTAGGTTTCTCTAGTTCTTCATATAAGCCTACCAGCACCTTGGTCAGCCTGTCCAACACCCTAGTCTTCTACAAGTACCTCCAGGACTGCTTGCGCTTATGGTCGGTGGCTTTGTAATGGGCCATAGCGACAGGGGCACAGGCATAGCTGGTGCCAGAGACCATGGCTGGAGGGCTCAGAGCAGCACTGCCATATTTCAGTTTTTGACCACTTAGTATGATACTGGCTGTTGGTTTTTCAAAGATGACTTTTATCAGGTTGAGATAGAGACCATCTATTCCACGTTTCTGTAAGGTTTTTTATTATGAATGCATGTTGGATTTTATCAAAACATTTTTTTCTGTTGAGATGACCATATAGTTTTTGTCCTTGGTTATATTAATATAATGTATTACATTTATTGATTTGCTTATGACGAACCCCGCTTGGTCAGGGTGTATGATCTTGATGATCTTCTTCAATCTGTTTGCCAGTATCTTATTAAGGATTTTTGCATCTACATTAGTGAGATGGGCCTATAGTTCTTGTTTTCGGTAGGGTCTTTCTCTGCTTTGGGGATCAAGGTGATGTTGGCTTCCAGGAATGAATTTGGGATTAATGCTTCCCTTTGAGTTTCATTGAAGAGTTTAAACAGTAGTAGTAATAGTTCTTCTCTAAATGTCTTGTAGAATTCAGCAGTGAATGCATCAGGGCCTGGGCTTTTCTTAGTTGGTAAGTTTTAAATACATTTTCAATTTCATGGTGTGATATTGGGTTGCTTAGAATTTTTAGGTCTTTGTTCAACTTTGGTAATTCATTTGTGTCTAAGAATCTGTTCTGCGCTTTCCATCTTATTGGAGTATAGGTTCTCTAAGTAGGTATTGATGATCCTCTGGATTTTTGCTGGGTGGTCCTTTGTAATTTGACCCTTTTCATTCCTAATTGCATGGATTTGGGCCTTTTCTTTCCTTCTTTGATGAGGTTAGCTAATGGTTTGTCAATTTTGTTTATTATTTCAAAGAACCAATTCTTT